CCCCAAAACCCCAAAACCCCAAAACCCCAAAACCCCGTGAAATATTATTAGTCGAAGATCAGTAATTTGATAAAATAAGTAAAGTAATAAGGATTAAATCAGAAATCCACCAACTAGTTGCCAAATTTATCATCCATTAAAGGCTATGAAAGTTCCTAATATTTCTAATGAGCCTCAGTATTTAGCACTCTTAGTTTATATTGTAGATAAAAAGCAATGAAAAATAATCCAAAGCCTGCATATAAGCTGATTGTAAATCTCACCAGCAAAGTTAAAATAAATGAATCGAATTTCAGTAAATAGTTAAGAATCAATGCTGGGGAACTTGCAATAATATAAAGCAATATTCTGTGCGCAGTTTTTATGATTGAAGTGAAATAAATTTGCTCAGTTATTAGGCCAAATAAATGTCTTTTGTACAATAGTCCCAAAAAGGCAGTATAGTTAATGATGCATACAAAACTGTTCAGCAATGATACATCATTAAAAATAGGTGATGTTCTAGAAATATTGGGGCATTTTTTTATCACTAAATCAATCCAAGCTTAATCATAGGGATATCTATCTTCTATATAGAGGTAGATCCAAACTTAGGAAATAACAGCGAATATAACCAATACTGTTGAAAAGATAACGCACATCTTGATTTCATCCTGAGTAAATTTTTCATTTGCTATTCTTTTTAGGAGTTTAATGTAAAAATCTCTAAACAAAAAATGATAAGTTAAGGAACTCCATAATCCCATCAATAATCCAAACAATACTTGATTAAAGGTATGAACTCTTAGATACAATCGGCTATAAGCTATTAACGACCAGAATATACATGTCATCAATAGCCAAAATACTCTTTCAAAATTAGACCTCTTGGAGTTTGAATAAACAAAATTTAAATATAAAAACATGCTTAAACCACAGGAAAACATAGAATGCCCACTTGGATTGCCATATTCAACAGAGCAAGAGCCATATGGTACTATGATTTCATTATCAAAGTATGGTCTTTTTTCATGATAAAGCATTTTCATAGAATTCATTAACCAAAGAGTAGTACAGAGGTAGGTCACGCCATTCATTGATTATATTTTACTTGGCTCGAAAATCATGATAACTCCTATTATTGCAATGAAGCACGGATAATCACCTAGCAGTGTGTAGTAGTAGAATATTTGCAATGAAGTTTCAGTACTCGTTTTTTACAAGTCCTCCAAATATGGGAGGCTCATCTCAAATAAAGGATATCTATAATATAACTCACTAATCAGGATGATCATCAAAGAAAATAAGGAAATTATCAAGCTCATGAGTAATCTGTTCATTTTTAATGAATTAATTTATTAAACTGAAATTCAAAGACATTCCATATCACAATGGGGTTTTGGGGTTTTGGGGTTTTGGGGTTTTGGGG